GGGGGGGGGGGGGGGGGGGGGGGGGGGGGGGCGACAGACATTCATGGAAGGACAGGGTCGTTATATATATGGAACTTGAAATTTCCTTACACATTAATTTGGATGCGCAGGAAAGCCTCTTTTCCAATTTTAAGTACCTTTTAAACTGTACTCCATTGGAAACCAAGAATTACTTTTAAATTCCTGGAGGATTCTCAGTTTTAGAGTGCGGAATAATTAATATTTAAGGAATCATTGCAATGCAAGAATTAAGGTAATCAGTAAAGAAGAATGATCGTGAAGTATTGCAAGTTGGAATGCTTGGACAAGATATTGCGCCACATGCTAGATGAGGAAGAGTTACACATTTGTTATATGTTACACATTTGCTTCCAAAAAAAAAGATGAAAACCTACTTGCCACTTGAGTTTGAATTAACCCACTCGACAACCCTGACCTGTCATTCCATCTCCTTTGCCCCATCCAATTAGGTCTCATTTGTGGCATCTCACTTAAACCCCTTTCCTCCTTTGTCGGCTGCCTACTCCGACCTCATCAATCAATTCTTCAGTTAAGCAGGAAGTGTGTGCGCCTTTTTTTTTTTTTTTTTTACAGGGAATGAATTATAGGATAGGATTATTCTTGGCTGATTATTGCTCATTTTCATGGCTCAGGCGTTGAGAGTGCATTTTTCGCCTTTGCCAGAAATAATTTATTTATCTATTTTATTAATTTAATTTTTTATGGGGCAATAAAGACTAACTTGGACGATTGAATGAATAAGGGCAGTCACGTGTTGGTCACGCATTCACTTGTGCAACGCACCCGTTATCATAATTGACTTTCCTCATTCCGATTCATAGCTCCTTGGCTTTCTTCCCAGATCATTACCTCCCCCCCTGGGAGGTGCCTTAATGACGCATTTGAGAAGGAGGCCCTCCCGGCGCTGCTCTCGATGAAATCAGCATGGTTTAGGAGGGAATAATTTCGGGGAAGTGTTGGAGGAGGCTGTTGCAACAGCGATGAGCATCACCCCATCTTGGAAAACCCTCCACAAAGATTCCGTGGTTGAACAACCTATGCTTACATATCCGATTTTTTGGAGTGGTATGTTCGATATAACGGCTCTTCATTGTTTCTTTACACGTCACGATGAGCATTGGCATCGGCACCGACTGATAGACATGATACAATAATCGGCCATTGTTCCATCGGTCAAATGAGGCCATCGGTACAGCCCTACTTAAATCTCATTGACGAGCTTGCCGATATTCGTTTAAAATAGATTCCTAAAATACAAAATTCACCCCATTCTCATATCATGTTGACCTCAACATATTCCTGGTAATACGGTTCGAATGCACTATGGATTAGTTTCTGGAAACACGATAATGGGAAATCAAAATGCAAAAGGTTAATGGAATTCTTCCATTGTTATTCTGAACGATGGAGAAAAAAATCATGACGAAGAATGGCTTGAATCGTAATTTCACGATGCCAAAGAAAGAGAGAGTACCTCTAACATTCATATAAATATCTCGATTATAACTCGGCAACTCGGTTGTCGAGGAACACGCAGAAAAGCGGAGGTCAAAAGCAATTGTTAGCAAAATTCCTCGTCTGTTCTCCCATGAATTACACGACAACGAAGTTTCGCTGGTTTGCACAGTTGAGGTACCGAATGGACTTCTGCATTAGAATCTCTTTGGGAGAGCGGGAGACGGAATGAGCATGCGCGGAGAGTGGTGCGCATGCGCCGCCGAAATCGTCAGCTCTTACTTTCGCGATCCAAGAGGGTGTTTCTCGCCGTAAATACAGAGGATTTCGGTAAAAAGACCAGCTGACGGTCGAAGCTTGCTCGCTTTACAGACCATCCCGCCTTCGCATGCATGTAAATGTCTTCCGTTCTCGCGAACGAGGTTGACCACGCGAAAACTATGGACGCCAAATAAGCACGGAGACCAGTGCGCAGACGCCAATCTTCAAGCGATCGGGAATCCAGGAAAGACCTACCTCATCCCGAATTCCTCGAAAACTCATTTTCAAGGAAAAATAACTTCAAGGCTGAATCCTGATGCAAATCTACGGAGATCGTGTGTAGCCAATTGCATCTCTTCGACCCGACGAGGGAATTCCTGAGTCTGGACATGTTAGCATGGCTTGTTCAACCACGGAATCTTTGCGGAGGGTTTTACAAGATGGGGTGATGCCCGTAGCTGTCGCAACAACCTCCTCCAACACTTCCTGGAGATTATTTCCTCCTCCGTCATGCTGATTTCATAGAGAGCAGCGCTTGGAGGACCTCCTCAAATGCGTCATTAAGGCACTTCCTGGGGGGGGGGGGGGGGGGGGAGGAGTGGGGAGGTTGTAGCTTTAACAGGCCGGATGAGGGAGTATGGGCGGCATTTTCGAGTGCAAACCGCCCCCCCCCCCCCTCTCCCTCGGGGATCGGGGTAGGCCCGCTCGTCAGTTTTGCCCAGTCTTTTCCGTGTCAGCTGAAGTAGCTCTACTGGGTGAGAAGATTGGAAAACCCCCATAAGCGTAGCGTGGAAGGAAAAAGTAGGGTGCACAGGAACTCTGGGACACTCGTCCCCCCCCCCCCAACTAACAACTGCGGCGCAAAGCACCACCTCAACTCTGGCGATAAGGGCCTTATCCCCCGGAAGCTGACAGGGAACCGGAACTGATGGAAATAATTTTGTTACACTTGTAAATAATCAAAGCCAAGTCAAGGCATTTGCTATCAAAGCTGATACTATCTATCCCATAGAGAGTGTATAAATGGAGGGGCTTCCCCTATGGCGCGAGGCACTGTACCCCTTCCAGGCGCGGCCACCATCTTATTCAAGTCTCACGAGCAAGGAGTTCATAGCAGACACATAGAGAAGGGGAGGGCAAAAGAGGCAACTTGCCCCCGAGCTATATGCCTGTGGGCCTCCACGCTGGGACCCAACCAATCACTCTACAGGGTGTCTGAAAAGTCACTCCCTATTTTTAAATTGTTATTGCTTCTAAACCAAAGGAGATATTGAAAATTTTCTTCTTTAATTGAATTGAAGCTTATTTTTTTTTACCGTTTACTTTATAATAAAATTGAAAAGCTTTATTACAAAGTTAAAATTCAACGTAGGCACCAGCATTGTCCACACACTTCTGTAACCTTACCGGTACATTTTCAACAGATTTTCTCAAGAAGTCACCTGGTGCATTGCCTAGAATATCACGAATTTTGTTTTGAAGTTCATCAATGGTCCTGTGGTTTTGATTTTTAAACTAATTCTTTCGCCCAGCCCCACAGAAAGAAGTTTTACAAAGTTAAAATTCAACGTAGGCTCCAGCATTGTCCACACACTTCTGTAACCTTACTGGTACATTTTCAACAGATTTTCTCAAGAAGTCACCTGGTGCTTTGTCTAGAATATCACAAATTTTGTTTTCAAGTTCATCAATGGTCCTTGGTTTTGATTTTTAAACTTATTCTTTCGCCCAGCCCCACAGAAAGAAGTCGCATGGCGTTAAATCTGGACTTCGAGCAGGCCATTCCGTTTGCAGACTTTTCAGACACCCTGGTGTCTGAAAAGTCACTCCTTCTTTTTAAATTGCTATTGCTCATAAACTGAAGGAGATATTGTAACCGTTCTTTCACTGTTTTAAGCTTAATCATTACCATTTCTATTATAAGTGAGTAATGGCTGAAAAATTAAGCATAGAAGAATGAGCGACTTAATTTAATAGGTCGTCGAGGGCCAACGGAATGGCCTGCTCGAAGTCCAGGTTTAACGTCGTGTGACTTCTTTCTGTGGGGCTGGGCGAAAGAATTAGTTTTAAAATCAAAACCAAGGACCATTGATGAACTTGAAAACAAAATTCATGATATTCTAGGCAATGCACCAGGTGACTTCTTGAGAAAAATCTGTTGAAAATATACCGGTAAGGTTACAGAAGTGTGTGGACAATGCTGGAGCCTATGTTGAATTTTAACTTTGTAATAAAGCTTTTCAATTTTGTTATAAAGTAAACGGTAAAAAATAAGCTTCAATTCAGTTAAAGAAAATTTTCAATATCTCCTTTGGTTTAGGAGCAATAGCAATTAAAAAATAGGGAGTGACTCTTCAGACACCCTGTAGATAGAGTGACCGTATCCAAATCATGGACTGCCACTCTTCGGTGATTTGGAACTATGAAAAATCCCGCTTCAGACGCTGCATGAACATGCTGAAGCTTATATAGGCAGGTGTCATGTATCACCGTCCCAATCTCTGATGAGATGAAGGTGATAGGCCTGATTGGAAGGGAAAAGGCAATTGTAGGGACAATTGTATCTCTTTTACATGTGGGCGACAAGCTCTACTGGGCATTCATCTTGCTTGCTGTTAACGTTGGGCAGCTCATTCCGCATTGAACATGGTAGTGGAAGTGTAGTCCTCATCAGAAAATAGTGTGCACATTACGAAGTTGAGGTTTATGTGCAGTGTTCACAGGATTTGACTGCACTCTAATGAATACCTAATGAATACCTAATGAATGACCAATGAATACCCAGCTCAGGATCAGATATAATTTCCCTTTGACTGCAATAGATCCAAGGTCTTGGAAGTTCTTGACACCTTCAACCTTATGCACAAGATCAACCCAAGATGCAGAAATGTATTGACTTTCTGGAACCAAGTGTAAATCAAGAAGCATTTCTTGATCTTCAAGAGCTGAAAGAAAGAAATAATGTAGCTTTCTCTGGGCACACCATTAGGAACATCCCCATTCATCAAATCTCCCATCATTTATGCCATCAGAAGTGCTGAGCTATAATTTGAGACCTGCATTAAAAATAAAGGTTAACATGTTTAAGTTCTTCACTGATCCTGAAGGTTCCCACATGCAAAAATCTGGCCTATCTGTCATACCTGCCCTTGGCATCAGCTTCACTTTTAAAAATTTTCATTTAAATTAAAGTTGTGCAAAATCCATTAGTAAGTTTGTGGTCACCCTGTATTCTCATCCCATTTCTTTTTATATTCTTTTCATAGCATCATTTTTTGGTATTATCTTTAACATCAGACCTACTAATGAGACTGATTTTTACCATTGTTTTAAGATGGTTGGGATCTATTACTCAGTATATTGAAATGAGACTATTCCAATTATTCTAGGACTGTTGAAGCTGATTGATCTCATGGTGTTTAAATGCTGTTTACATATGTATAGCATACCTGACTGATGCAGTTGAGTGAGTGAGAATGTCAGGGAAAGGAAAGAGTAAATTTGAAGGGAATGTGGAAGTGTTATCCTCCATTCAGGGGCCTGGTAGTGTACCTGGATTTCTTCTCAAGTTGTGGAATCTTGTGGAGGATCCACAGACAGACTCTGTCATATCATGGGGCCAAACAGGCAAGAGCTTCATCATAAAAAATCCTGTTCTCTTTGCAAACACACTTCTTCCACTCTATTTCAAACACAACAATGTTGCAAGCTTTGTGAGACAGCTGAACATGTATGGCTTCCACAAAGTGGTTCCTGTTGGGATGGGGAGTGCACGCTTGGAAAATAAGGAAATGGAATTCACTCATACATACTTTGTGAAAGGTGGGCTTCTGCTCCTCAATCGAATCAAAAGGAAAATATCTCATAGTCGCACTGAGGATCCTCTCAAGATAGATATCCTTCCTGCTTTAGAAGAAGTGAAACACAAGCAAGAAGATATGGAGTCTCAACTTCAATCCATGAAGCAAGAGAATGAGACCTTATGGATGGAGGTGGCTACTCTTCGTCAGAAGCATGCTAAGCAGCAGCAACTTATCAATAATCTGATAAAGTTCCTTGTGTCTGTTGTACGTCCACATGCCAGTGGATCAGGAGTTGGAGTGAAACGATCATACCCATTGATGATCAACAGCTCTGATTCTGATGCCAGTCAAGGTCCTTCTAAGAGTTCCAAGAAATTAATGGCAAAGGAGGAATTTTTTGATGACACTAACTCCCAGCATGGTCCTGTGATTCGAGATGTCACTGATCTCCCTGCTTCACCGAATGGGTCTGCTGCAACAGTAATTCTCCCTGGAGATCAGTACTCAATCCCACAGGCTGCAGTGCCAATATCTGTTCCAGCATCACAACCCAAGTCTCACTGCAATGATAGTACTAAACTCCTGATGAATTCAGATCAAGGAAATTCCAGCCAGTCTTTTCTGAATATAAATTTGGATGAAACAGAGCTATCTCCTGAACTGCTTGTCACAGTGGATCCTTCAGAAATCTTTGAATCAGACCCAGTTGCAAAATCAGGTTCATCAAACACTGTGGCCATGTCAAAGACAAAGGAAAAACAGGTATCGCCCCTAGCTGGAAAGGTCACGAAGAAGAGCAAACGAATAAGAGGAGATCCTTCTACTGGTGACACTTCTAACTTGGTTGGTAGTGGTAACAATTGTACATTTGATGCTGATACCATTTCTGGAGATCTCCTTGGTAGAGAGAACTCTCTTAACACTCCTGACTCAACCTTTGTAGAAGGAGGGAATTCCAGTTTGTCAGTAGCTGTACCTCAGTATGCCTCTCTTGGAGCAACTACAGGTCATCAGGCATCAACCTCCAAGATGGATTGGAATCATTTCATGGAATTGTTGAGCAGTGGGAATTTTGATGTTGACTTGGATCAGTTATTTGGGTTGAGCTCAGCAAGCGGTCTAAGTGTGCCACAAGGTAGCAGTACTATTAGTGGCTCTGTCACAGTACGAGAACCACGTACAGCAGCTTCAGATGCAGTTTCTTTGGGCACTGGCACCATGTCCCCAACACACTACACAGGAGTGACAACTTACAACCCATCTCTGTATGACCTGATTGATGAAGTGGAAAGTGTTAGTGCAAATGTCAATGAGATGGAATCAGCTGATTCTTCTCTTCTCAGCAGCTAGAAGAGTTTCACCTGCAGTAAATTCATACGGTATGTTCACCTCAAATGGTGGCTTTCCTTATGTTGTATTGATAGTTAATTGCTACTTCCATTCTTATCATAATAAACCTTTTTCCCCCCATTTTCTATAGACTGGAAGATTGAATTGTTGCTTATTCTTACTTATCTCTTGCAAACCGCCTTCCAGTGCCATTTGACCAATATGGCAAAATAGTGTCTGACAGGGAATCATGCTGCAATCTTTAGGCAGGAAAATGGTTATTGTAAAGACCATGTTAAATCCCCAATTAATGCATGGTTTCTTAGCTTTTACAGGTATAGAAGCAGGCCCCCTGTGAGACACTTGGTATGACAGAGTCTCCGCTTTTCTTCTTTTAATTTAAGTGCATCTCGTGTTTGGGACCTCTTCATGATAATACAGGATGTTCAAAAAGTCATATAACCCCTGGAGTTATGTAGTTCTGTCATAGGCACTGAAGTTAATGTGTGAACTATGGAAGAAAAATGAGTGACTAGTGCTCATTAGGGGATTGCTGTATGCTATGATTTCTTAGTAGGTATACTGTGGCTCAATACTGGGGTATACTGGCAAGGAGTGGGGGGTGCTTCAGTTGCAAACTCCCAGAAAAAACCCACAAAGAGAGTGAATCTTTCTGTTGTGATGGTGTGGAGCAAGTTGTGCATCCATATTATGCCATTCATTAGAAAGCATTGGGATACATTCATTTCAACCCAAATGGATGGATTTGGTAGCTGTGCCCAGGAATATTGCAGTGATTTAAGTTGCTAGGAGAACTCAAATTATGGATCTCAGAAAAAAAGAAGCATCATGGAAGAGAATCCATATTATCATTGTGCATGGTTGCACATTTCATATTCGTATTAAGTACTCAGGCTTATCAAGCAGAGGGTGCAGTCTAGGTGAAAGTATACCCACAAATGACAGGTCTTGATGCATGGTTCTGGATTAAGTATGGAAGTCACTCTGATGACTTCCAGGAAGGCTTTGGTTTTCCCCAGATGGTGGTTCACGTGAAAATTTCATATAAGACCATATATGAAATGGTCATATATTTAACCACTCCAACATATATGGGACATATATGACCATATAGTGCAATTCATATATGAACATATATGAAACATGTATGGGGTTTGACAGGTCACATAAAATCATGAGACTGAAAATATATGACCCCATATATTTTCATATATTAGTTCATACAAATGCATCATATATGCCATGCCATATTATTTTCATCTATGGGGCATGTATGACCATATAATGCAATACATATATGAACACATGTGAAACATGTATGGGGTTTGACACAAGTCACATAAAATCATATAAGAAGGTAAATATATTACCCCATACATTTTCATATATTGGCTCATATAAATGCACCATATACTGTCCATATATGCCATGTCATATCTATGTATGGTGAGATTACCTGAAACATGCCAAAAGGGGTTCATAATCCATCAGATACTGTATGATCATTCATATGCAAGTCACCATACCTTACTTGCAATCAACTCATTTTTAATTGTTCATAGACCACAGTCAATTACTCCAAGAACTCATGTTTCATGGTGTTCAACATATGCACCCTTGTTAACGAAAGTGAAAGTTTCAATATTATAGACTTTAACCTTCACAAGTATTTTCATGACAAAACTTGGCTTACTCATGTAGGAGTGTCTTCTTCATCTTGACTGACACCTCACAAGATAGATGGGAAAAAAACCAATTTCTTTCTGAAATAATCCAATGAAGGAATGGCACGACATGTGCCCCCACTTAACAACAAAAAACACATTAATATAAAGGAAAAGATGCATGAAATGCATGATAACAGTGTCCCAGAGTTCCTGTGGCCCCTTCCCACACTTTTTTCATTTGCGATTCGCTTATGCTACCTGGGGAGGGTAGGGCCCAGTTTGAAATCCCAACTGGAATTTTTCTGGTGGACAGAAGCTGTATATTCAGACCATTTCCATCCAAGAGCTGAAATGGTAGATACAGGTTGTTTTACAGCTGAAAATTTGCAGTTAGAATTTTATTCAGAGGACTCTCCAGTTGGGATTCAGCTGAATTTACAGTTGAAATTCAGCTGCTTCTATAGATGGACCTCCCGCAAGAATAGCAGGAAAAATCATTCTCATTCCACCAGTGTATTTAAATTAGGAACAATCTGGATTTGACTTTTCTTTCCAGCTGCTACCCAGTTGGAATGGGTCTGAATTTCCATCTGAGGTTCAGCTGGAAATTATAGCTGTTTCCAACAAGGATTTTCAGCTTGGGGGGGTTTGAAATCAAACTTTTGGCAAATTACTTTAAAGGTTATACATAGCTAATATTTCATGTAAAATATAATGGGTATATTAAAATTTAATTGCAGAGGCATTCGAAGGTCAATTGCCCTCATGTGTAACAACCTCATGCAGTGGCATATTTTCCAGGGGGGGGGGGGGGGGGGGGGGGGGGGGG